TATTTTTAGAGGAAGGGAAGAGAGCAAGAAACACCAACCTGTGAGAGAAACATGGATCGGCAGCCTCCAACCAGGGACTTGGCCCACAACCCAGGCACGTGCCCTGACAGGGAACAAAACTGCTCCCTTGGGTCCGTAAATTGACGCCCACCCCACTGAGCCACACCAGTCAGGGCTCTACTGATTTTAAAAGAGCATGAGCGTCATACATTAATTACATGGTTAAAGTTCCGACGGTACCGAAGAGTTAAAACGAAAAGAGCATCTTCTTGCCACGCCCCTCCCCCAACTCGGAGGCATTAACTTCTCTCCGTTTCCTCTGGCAGTTACCACTGTTTCTGGAAAAAATAGACTCTGTTGCTATTTCTTTTCTCGGTGATGCTCTCTGTGATCCTGTGACTTCCCGCTCTGTGTTTAAAGATGGTAATAAGTTTACTTAGAAGAAATTGGCTGGTTCCTGTGTGCCGGGTGGGGTGGCAATTGAAAACATGACCCACGTGGTTCCCAGTTATCCCTGCTGCAAAGTGTGTGGACTTTAAATTAGCATTTGGGTTCACCTGAGGATGCCAGAACCCTCCCTCCGCCCCTGCACAGCTTCCCATAGAGATTTTTTCCCAGTTCCTCTGCAGGTTCCTTTTATGCCTTTACCTAACGCCTCTTCGCTTTCACTGCTTCTTCCATCAACTTTCACGTTTGTTGACTCCCAGCTTTGTCAGAGGAGTTTGTTGGTTCCCTACCCTCCCTCCTGAGAGTTTTCAGGCCATTTTGGGGTGGGATTTTTGGCCTGTGAAAATCGTGGGAGGAGGAGGGGTGACATTTCCAGGATGGGAAAAATATGAACGGAACCCAGCCGCAGGAGAAGGCCAGGGCTGAGTCCATAGGGATGTACTGTCGTTGGGCTGAGAGGCGAAGCTGCGTGCAAATTAGCGGTCAAGCAAGGCTTAGATTGTCCAGTTGAAAAGTTTGTGTTCTGCCAGATAGAGGCAGTGGGGAGCCACAAGGTCACAGCTAGATGTACAGGTGGAATCCAGGTGTACACAGGGCAAGAAAGGGAAAGTGGAAGAGGGAGAGGAAGAGGAGAAGGAATGGGAGGAGGAGGCAGACTCAGGGAGGGGACAGAATGGGGAGGCAGAAGGCTATTGTGGTGTGTGACATCTCTGGCCTGGGTGGTGGCAGTAGGAATGGCAGAGCATCATTATGACGCTTCAGTTATCCTTGTCTTGCCAAAGTATAATCTCCCGTGAAATGTGAGGTGCTGATGGACAGGCCTCACCTGATCCGCAGGATGGGACGGTGCACATAGCTCAGAGCAGAGCCAGTTGACAGAGGAACGCCTGAAGGTGGAAAGGAAACTTCTAGCTGCTCAGGAGCCAGCCAGCCTTTGCTGTTACTAGAATTAGTCACTTATTTTCCTTTTCTTGTTAGTGCTTGAGGGTGTGTGTGTGTGTGTATGTGAATATGGTGCAGGGAGAAGTCAGAGCTCAAAGATGAATGTGACGTTCCATGTGTTAAGCCCATACCTGTGACATGTAGGGGACTGGAAGGGCAGATGTCGGAAGCAGACCGCGGAGAGTTTGGCTCTCAGTGCCCCAGCACCTTGGGTGAATCACGACCTCCCTTCTCCTGGCGATCTAACAGGATTGTTATGGAACAATGAAAGCAAACATCTATAATGTGCTTGCTGAGGGCTGGGCAGGCACAGTGGCCTGGACTCCCGGTGTAGCAGCCCAGCCCATCCTCCACACTTTCCAGAAGAGGGTGCTGATGCTCAGAGAGGTGGCGTTAATTATCCAAAGTCACACAGCACTCCATGCCAAGCTTTTCACCCACTTACTGTTTTCACTGTACTTCTTGTAGACAGGTTCTAAAGCACTTGTAAGAATTCATAAGGAAATGCATATGAGAAGCTTCAAAGTCCTCAAGTGATCTTGCACATCAATGTTTATAGCAGCTTTATTCATAATTGCCAAAACTTGGAAGCAACCAAGATGTCCTATAGTAGGTGAACAGGTAAATAAACTGGCACATCCAGACAATGGAACAGTATTCAGCACTGAAAAGGCATGAGCTATTAACCCCTGAAAACACACGGAGGAACCTTAAAGGCCTATTACAAAGTGAAATAAGCCACATGAAAAGTCCGCCTACTGTGTGAGTCCAGCTCTATGACATTCGGGAAAAAGCAACACTATGACCACAGGAAGATCAGTGTTTGCCAGGGGGTAGAGGAAGGGAGGGAGGAACAGGTGGAACACAGAAGATTTTCAGGGCAGTGACTCTACTCTGTGTGATCCTATAATGATGGGTATGTGCCATCATACATTTGTCCAATCCACACAATGTGCACCACCAAGAGTGAAGCCTCACGTAAATGGGGGACTTTGGTTGTGTCTTAGCTGGGGCTACCATAACAAAACTGCCATAGACTGGGTGGCTTAAACTACACTTATTTCTCACAGTTTTTGAGGCATGAAAGTTCAAGATCAATGTAAGGGCCCTCTTCTGAGATCACAGACAGCCTTCTTGCTGTGTCCTCTAAGGTGATAGGGATAGGAAGCTCTGTGGAGTCCCTTTCATAAAGGCTTTGTGTCATGTCCTAACCGGCCCCTCACAGGCCCCACAGCTAACACCATCACACTGGGGATTAGGTTGCAGCATATTAATCTGGGGGCACACAAGCCTTCAGTCTGTGGTGATACCAATGTATCGGTGTAGGTTCATCCATTTCAACAGTATCATTGTACTGGAGGGTGTGGATAGCGGGGTAGGTCGTGTTGGAGGAACAAGGGTGTGTGGCAACTCTCCGCACCCTCTTCTAAAGTTTGCTATGAACTTCAAATGGCTCTAAACAATAAAGTGTATTTTTAAAAATTCTCAAGTGACCAAATGCAAGCTTACATATATAATCAAGTTTGAAGCATTTGGGTTTAAGTTCTAGAATATATTTTTACAAGAGAGCCAGCTCATTTCTTCTAAGGCATCTCTTTTATAATTATTTATTCTTTTATGTGCCAGAATTTGGGGACATTTGTAACATGGAAATCTGGTATAAAAGAGCTACATAGAATATCCTTTCCTCTGGCACCTCGCTTTGTAAAATTGCCACTGGGGGAGATTGGTCTTGGTGTTGTGTTACCATCAGGGGGACATACTGGCCTGGCCACCTGAGGGACTTGGGCTGTTGGCTAGGTGCATGGTCTGTGCTGTGAGCGCAGCCGGCTAACATTGAGTCTCGCATGTTCCTGCTGCTGGAGCCAGGTCATCTTGCATAAAATACTTTCCAAAGATCTGTTGCACTTTCCTGAAAGTAGGAAGGGACACCCAACCTTTCTGTAACCTTTTTGTAACCTTCTATTGTACTCCTTTCGTAAGCCTGGTAGAAGACACGGCCACTTCCATGTAGCATTAAGGCCTGCTAATGTCCTTATATATTAGTGCTGTGGATACCACCTAGGCATGCAGAGTTGTGATCAGGAGCCACAGATTTGCAATAACCACAGCAAAGGTTACGCCATGCTCTGTCCCTTCCCATTTGGGCGTCCTTGGACAAGGTTCTTCAACACCTTGAGTCTCTGTTTCCTCCTCCCTAGAATGCCAGTCACATTTGCCGCCTAGAGTTGTCAAGGGGATCACATTTAGATATGACCTCTATGGCACTTAGCCCAGAGCCTGGCACAATAGTAGCATTGTTTACTACTGTTACGTTCTATCTGATGAAAGTAAAGGGCATGGGATCAGTTCTGTGAGACCTTGAGTAAAGTCACTGGAACACCCAGAAACTCATTTTGCATATCTGTAAAATGAGTATTAAAATGCTTTGTCTATTCACAAGTTTGTTGTGAGGATTGTATGAAATACTGGATATACATATAATTGTGAAAAGTAGGTACACTTCTTGAGTAATTCTGATGAGCTGTACATGATGTTCCTACAGGTATGCAATCTCTCATAGGGAGTGGGTACTATTGGCTTGGTTTCCCCCCACCTTTGTTCGAGGGGAAGGGGTTATCCCCCTAATACATGAATACAAGGACAAACTGACCTTCCTCATCTTTTCAGCTAGACTGTACACAGTGAGGCCATGGACTTGGTTGTCCACTCAGCCCCGTCTCTTCCAACGGCCCTCTGATCAACTCATCCTGTGTGTTGAATGAATGAGACAATAAATGACTGAATGATGTATACGAGCAAACGTTTTTTCAATCTCCAAGAGATCCAGAGGCCACAATAACATCTAAGGGGTGTGGGCCCAAAGTGTGGCCGGCTCAGAGCCCGCTGACGACTCACCCGGGGACTGGGGTGCATCTTACCCCAGACCTGGTGAATTCCACCCCATCAGCCTGCCAGCAATGGTTTGCAGGTCTCAGAGGAGAGGAGTCTCATTCTGGAGAAGCAATCAAGGCGGCTTCCCGCAGGAGGCAACCTCTGGGTATTAAAGGGATTAAAAGGGCAGGACATGTTGGAATTGGCTATGGGATACGAGAGGCCAGGGGCTTCTTCACTTCCATGGACCCAGCACCCAGCAAACGGACGTCGGAGCAGACGCTCAATGCAGGCGTCCTCCACAAACAACCCAAAACACCACAGTCTCCTTCGGGGACTTTCCTCCTAGTCCGCTCCCACCTGGCCTCCCCCGCGACATCGCCCAGCCCCCTTCGCGGCAAGTGCGCAGGCGTGGGAGAGCGCACGCGGGTGACGTCATTTTGTGCCGACCCCGCCCGGGAAGGAGTCGCGCTTGGATTGCGTCGCTATGGAGTCCAGGGCGGGTGAGGTTTCGTGGGAGAGACCCTGGGGTGTGGGGCAGCCGCAGAGAGGGTCTGGGCTGTGGAGGAACCACTGGGGGGCCGACAGAAGGGTCGCGTGGAGGAGTCACAAAGGATAATGTAGAGGAACCGCCGCAGAGAAAGGAATGGGACGGAGGGCGGGGCTCGGAGGTCGGACCCTGGCGGGATTCGGTGACGACTCGGTCAGAGGAAGGAGCGCTACCTGCTGGGTGGGTGGTGGTGTCCGCTCGCCCCGTACCATTCATCTACTCCCGTGAGATCTGCCCTCCTATATAATTTTCACTTCACAGAACGGGAAACCGAGGTTCCAGCTGCTGGCAGGGGCAGGACCGGACACCACTTGAACTAAAACGCTGCGCACTTAATCACTGTCCTCCTAAACGCTTTTTGAGGCCTTGGATGTACCAGGCACTGGGGAGGCTCGCCCCAGAGCGCCTGGGCTTTGGTGATGGGTTGCAGGGTTGCCTGGCTAAGGTCATACTAGAGCGGACAGCGTGCCAGGGTCTGTCACTTCAGTCCTTACTGCACGTGCAGCATGTGAACTGCACAGTAAAGAGTTGCTGTTAGTACAATGGAATGAGAGGGAGAAAAAAGACCTTCGGGGAGGATGCCTGCCAAGTGCCAGGACGGAGCTCAGCTAGAGGTACAAGGAAGAGTAGAAGGAAAACCCAAGCTGACCTGACAGTCCACTACAGAACAAGGTTCAGGCATTTCACACATTAATATATGTCACCTTTTATTATCCTAATCATTTCCTATGTTTTCATAACTTTCCAAGGGCAAGGATGTGACCTTTTATTCTCTCCATCTCCTCCCAATTAGCACTCAAATGGGAGTGCTCAAACCTCTGTGATTAATTGACTCTGTTAAGGGTCCTGATGTCTACACTTCTTGTATCCCACAGTGCCCCGCACAGTGCCGGGGATGTAGTAGGACCTCTGGGTTGTTAGTGAAAGTGGTGATGTAAAGCCTTATGACAGTCATATCAGTGTCATTGTTTCTGTTTGAAAAAAAAAACACGCCAACAGTGAGGGTGCTCTGCCTTCTTAAAGAGAGGATATCTGTCTGCAATTGAGTGTTCAGAGAATGCTCTTCGGGGGAGGTAGCAGCTCAGCCTGTTCTGAAGCAAGAGCAGTAGCTGGACCTGGGAGGAGGAGAGAGGAGAGAAGAGGAAGTACTAAGTCCTGAAAGAGAGAGGTGGCAGACGTGTGGGACCTACACGTCTGGTGGGACCTGGGTGGTTGAGTGTAGGTCCTTCAACCAGGGACCTACACTGGTTGAGCCACTTTTTGAATTTGAAGTGAAGAATGATGGGAGATGAAGCTGAAGTGGCCAGCAGGGGTTTGCAGCTCATTTCACCCCCTACAGCAGAGGGATCCGCAGAACTGTGGAGCAGAATGAAGGGGAGACTTCTGTAGGTGGTGCCAAAGCTGGGCCTTGAAGATGGGGTTTGCCGGAGAGACAGGGAGCTGAGCAGACTTTCCAGCAGAGACCAGGAGGTGCAGAGCTCCCAGCTGGAAAGAACAGCCGAGTGCTGGACGCTGCCCCTATAGTCCTGCCCAGGCTGACAGCAGTATAATTTTGGCCTGCATCTGTAGAAATTCGTGTACTCCCTAAGCATACCTGAGTATGCGTTTTTGATTTCTGGAGTGGTTCAAAAGCATAGCTAGAGTTAAGAGGCACCAGGACAGTTTGGAGTAGGCTCCAGGAGGCTTTGGGGTCTAGCTGGGAAGGGTCTTGCATGCATGCCATGCCAGGGGATCTAGGTCCAGTCTGAGGGCATAAGCAGTAGAAGCCTTTAGCCATGGCTCTTACACCTTAGAACTACACATAGAGGCTTCACAGATTGATACAAAATGGTCAGATGGATGTGAACGCATGTATCAGTAACAAGGTTGGAAACCACTTACTGCCCATTAGGGGACTGCTTGAGTAAATTTTGACCTGCTCATCTAGTGGAATACTGTGCAACTGAAAAAAATAAGAGGGTGCATTTTATGTGCATACGGACTAATCTACAAGATACTGAGCAAAAACAACAGAGTGCAGAGCAGTGTGTAGCCATATGCTACAGGATAGTGCACTCTGGGGAAAATAAAACCAGGGTGAGAACAGAAATGTTTCCTGTGTGCAGCCTGATACCCGGGGAAGAATGCGCTAAAAGAAACAGGTGCACCAATTGCCTTAGGGGAAGGACGTGGAGCCTGGCATACATTGAGGAAGGAGGCTTTGCTGTTAAGAGTATAATTTATTCACATGATTCGAAGCCACACAATTCAGAAATATTCATGGTGAGAGCCCGCTGCCTGCCCCACCCCCTGCCCAGCTAGGTGACTCCCAACTTTCTCTGGCTGCGGGGCTGCTCCCTTGTGTTACTTTTTTTTAAAAAATATTTTATTTATTTATCTTTAGAGAGGAAGGGAAGGAGAGAAATATCAATGTGTGGTTGCCTCTTGTGAGTCTCCAGCTGGGAACTGGCCTGCAACCCAGGCACGTGCCCTGACTGGGAATTGAACTGCGATCGTGTGGTTCGCAGGCCCATGCTCAATCCACTGAGCTATGCCAGCCAGGGCCCTTGTGTTACTTTTGAGCAGCCGCCTCTCATTTAAGGGAGACTGAGGACCTGAGAGGTTAAACCTGCCCCTCCTTCCTGCCTGAGTGATGAGAGGTGCCCCAGCCACAAGCACTGTGTGCAGAAGCTCAGATTCAGAGTCTGGGTGTGTTTAGTTATGGTGAGCACCACCTACAGTCTCTGAAAAGAAGAGGCTGGCTTTTCGCTGCCAGTGTCAGATGCACATCAAGTACGATGTTGATACATCGCTACAGAGACTTTGGGGTATAATTTCATTGTAAGTTACCCTTGGGGACTGGATCTACTTCTAGGTTGGTAGTAAGAGTGTATGAGTAAGTGAGATTACCACATAATTCACAGCACTGACCCAATACTAAGTTGTTATGAAAATAAACTAAATAGTAGATATCAAAGTGATTTGAAACAAACTGTACAAGTTTATCCTTTTGGACCAACAAAAAATATTTTATTTTGTATCAATTTTAAAATGTATCAATATGAATATGCTGGTTTTGTTTTTTCTACCTATCTGGAAACTTTTTTTATATTTCTTCACCCAGAGTTAATACAAATTTTATTAGGACTGCCCCAGTCAAAATATATGTGTTACCTAAAATTGCATTTCCAAAGTTGGATATGAAAGAAAAGATTCCCACACTAACAAAGGGGTTGTAGTTGGTAATCTCACATAATAGCTGGTTTACAAATCACTGAGGGTTAAGGCAAGCTTCCTGGATTTACAGCAAGAGTAACTAATCAGCTATTTCAAGACTAAACAGTGTTGAATGACAGTGCCGTGACTGAGCAGAGCAAATGCTGGGTTACGTGGTCTGGGTTGCATTTTGCTCTCCTACTACCACAGGTTAGTAGAACCAGGTTAAACATTTAGATTATGTTGAGTTTACTCTATTTTTGGACTTGAGTCATGGGTGTAGAAACTTACCGCTAACCCTGATTTGATGACGTAGAGATCAGAAGCCCGAGAGCCTGGTCTGGCCTGGGAGGGGGTGGGGTACAGGGTGCGGCTGCAGCAGGCACGCGGTAGGACACGGGATTACCTGGGATTTGTGTGCTGTGGGATTCCTTCCTGCCGTTTGATGAGGCACGCCCTTGCTGCGGCAGGTGTTTCCAAACAGGACATTCGTGAGCAGATCTGGGACTACATGGAATCACAGGATATAGCTGACTTTCCTCGACCTGTTCATCACAGGATTCCCAACTTCAAGGTACTGGAGCATTCAAAAGGGAAAGAGGGTGTTCCTACATGAATAACAGTAAGGCAGTCACCGTCATGTTTCATGGTGGATTCAAATTTGGCAAACAGAGGTGGCTTGAGATCCAAACCACCAGGCTGGGGTGGCTTTGTGTTTGGAGATGTCCCTTATGTTACTTAGGCTTCACTCAGGGCCTCTTGCCTGTCTCTGCAGCGTGGGTTGGCTGGTTGTCCCTTGTCATGGGGTGGTGCTCAGTCTGCTGTTTACCATCCGATGCAGAGTGAAATGTCTGCTTATCCTGGAAGCGTGTTATTGTGGTGCTTTTTCACAGAGTTGGCTCCCTAAGGACAGTAAGGGGGACATGCTCTGGGACAGAAGCCCCACTGCTAGCACCTTTGGAAAGAGGCAGCCTGCACCAGTTCCTGATGATGTGGGCCTCTAACTGTTCCAATTAGAAGAGAATCAAATATGTCTCTTTAGGATAGTATTGATAGGAAAGAGTTTGCTTGAGAGAGGCAGTGTACATAGCTCCTAATCTCTGGCATAGATGTTTTCCAAGAGGAAAAGAAAGCACGTTTTGAAAATACACTGATTGCTCTCAGGCCCGGCCCGGAGGATGTGGCCCCTTTGCCTGTCATCACCCCCGTTTTGGCTGGACTTTCTCACCCCAGCTTGGCTCCCAAGAAGCAAGCCCCAGCCCTTCTCTGGGCCTTAGCAGAGCTGGTTCTGAGGCCATCCTGTCCTGAACAGCTGTTCTGTTGGATGGTTTGCGTTGCTACTTTGTTTTGTTTTAGTGCTTGTTACCCCAGGGAGAGAAATGTACTGAAGTACAGGGAAAAATGCACAGAATCAGTAATAATCTTTAAAAAGGAAATCAACTAGGACAGGGTTGGAGGTTCCCAGTTAGCACTGTAACCTTGATTTATATTCTCCGTCTTGATTTAGGCGATGATTGCACAGGTGTGTTCATTTTGTGACAAGTCATTAAGCTTTCACGTGATTTGTACACTTTGCGGGGGTGTGTGTTTTATTTCAGTAATAAATCAGGGCCAGGCTAGCTTTCTCAGCCCCCTTCTATCCTGACTGCCTTCTTAGATGTTTCTTTGGGTGACTCCTAAACCTTGTTTCACAATTAGTGCTTTTGCCTGTCTGGAGGGACCCTGGAGCAAACTGCTCAGGCGGCAGCTATCCTCTCGATAACGTTTAACTGCATTTGAAAACAGGGTGCTTCTCGGGCCGCCGAGCATTTCCCACGCTTGCAGGAGTTCAGAATGGCCAGAACCATTAAAGTCAACCCTGATGCTCCTCAGAAAAATGCTCGCTTCTTCGTCCTCGACGTAAGTGCAACTCTGTCTGTTTGCCTGACCAGGGCTCTTATCTGGCTTGCCAAAACATCAAAGACCTAGAAGTTTTTGCCAGAACGCAGGAAGTCAAAGTGGACCCCGATAAACCACTGGAAGGTGTGCGGCTGTTGGCTCTGCAGGTAATTCCATGTTCCCGCCGCTGGCCGGCCGGCCGGCCGGTGCTGGTGGCCAGTGAATGTGTGCAGTCCTGTGTTTAGGAAGATGGTTCTTCTGACTCCTTCCCACGCAGAACACGCCCTGGAGTTGTTTTGTTGAAACAATCTTGAAGCCTTTCACATGTTTAGCAGTAGGTCAGTTGGAAGTCCTAAGTGTTTCTAAATTCAAAGGTAATGGACATTCCAAATGACATTGAGGCCTTCTCAGTTCAGATGTGCTCCATCAGAAGGGAAAGATTCTAATACCTTTATTTCCTTCTGCTACCTTTGTAATATTATAGTTCTTTGAAACTTCATAACCTGTGAGTAAGGAATCTGATGTGAGTCCCCAAAATATATAAACTAGAACAGTGTTTCTTAGCTTTACAGGCCCCTTTGAAGAAAAAAAGTTTCTCCAGGGTTGCTTTAAATTAATTTCTTACAATTCAGTAAGTATAAACATAAACCTTGATATAAATTTTAATGCTCACAGCTCTTATGTGATGATAAAAATAAGCATATAAATTAAGTACAAACAAAACTGTAAAAGCAGTAACGTTCAGATAACCACTAATTCTGAGCAGCGGTGATACTGCTTTGCTGATACTGGAGTGCGGCGCTGAGGCCGCAGTGCAGGGTCTGGGCTTTGGGATGCTGTCTGCGCTGCCACGGCCCCAGGGTCCCTGGGTTCCCCTGCAGCTCCTGAGAAGCCGTGGCTGTGCAGGGCCCCTTCCATCCCACGTGGTGCAATGAATACCAGGGACAGAGGGGCGTAGCCATGCTGCTCTGGTTCTTTCAACTGTTGAGTGTAGGAAATCATCTTCTGTTTGCGGTGCAGCCCCAGGAGGGGCCTCTGGTAGGCTTTTCTGGAACCATTCTTTCTTGCCAGCCTTATTTTCCTGGTCCATAAATCACTTTAATGAACTAGAGGCAATAATAGTAGCAGCAGCGGTGAAGGACCCATAGTGGGCAGTTACATGCGAGGCACATTTCTATCTGAACAGTTTCCTGCATCCATGAATCTTACCAACAACCCAACCCTGCAGGAGCGGTCTGGTCCCTGTTCCCATGTGACATGGAAGAAACCAGACACAGACAGGTCAAGTGTCTTGGCTGAGCCCCATGTCAGGAACCACGGACCCAGGACTGTGTCCTACTTCGGGACCAGAGCCAGCTCTTGGCTTATGTGAGGCTTAGGTTGTTCTTACTGTCAGCCCCTGAGCACAAAATCACAGGCCTTGAATGTGTTGGAGGTTTTAGACTTGGCCCAGGCAGCCTGTGCGGGGAGTGCAACCCGGTGACAGGGTGGTACAGCTGAGCCCTCACTGGCATTTTATTTATTTAGGGGAAATAAGTGGCTGAGCTGCATTTCTGGTCCTGTGTTGAGCACAGGGACGCAGGAGCAAAAACACACAATGACACGTGTGGCCGCCGTGCTGCAGGGTGACCAGTCCCTCTCTAGACTTCAGCGAGTTGAGAATCACCTAGGAAGCTCCACAGTCCCACTGGAGCGCAGGCGAGGATGGTGTTGCATACAGCCGTAGGCCACACCTGGGGACACAGTGGCCTGTGCGCAGGGATGCAGACCTTCCCAGGCTCAACCCCAGGCCTGGAATTGAAGTTTGTTTTTAGTGAGCACCTGATGGTGTTTGAGAGCCACTGGCCTGGGCCGCCCTCGCCAGCCCCAGCCGCAGGCTGGTGCCCTCCAGGGAGCTTGGAGGTGATCTGCTGCCCACGTCAGGATCTGAGTCAGAGGCCGCCTGGACCTTGCTGAGTCTTCCAGTCCCACAGACCATGCTAACGTGCAGCTGGGGTTGAGACCCGCTGAGCTGTGGGGTGAGCAGCTTCCCAAAAAGAGGGAGGAACCAGAGTCATCCAGAGACTGCAAATGAAATGAACCCAAATTACTTAACACTACAACGGAAAACAAGATGTGCTCATTATGGTGTTGAAAAGACTCTTGTGGTTGAAAAATTCCTGTTTAGGTAAGCCAGACTATGATTTTATAGGTCTTTTGTTGGTCTCAGGCTGCCATCTCCTGCACAAAAACTAAAATATACTATTTTTTACACAAAGAATTGTTTATAAATTTTGTGATTGCCTGATAGCCTACCCCTGCTTCATCTACAGAGATGCCCTTGGGCAGTGGTTCTCCCCATGTCCCCGATGTCCAATGACTGGGCGGGCGAGTTGAAGCAGGGCCCCGGGCCTGCCTGCCCCCAGAGCTTCTGGTCTTCCTAACCAGTGCCCAGGGGTTTCTGCAGCTGCTGCTGCCCGGGGCCCGCACTCTGACAGTCTGAGAACTAAATAGAAGAAAAGAGCTGTCGACAGAGGTCAGTGTAAAATACTGATTGTATCAAGTGCTGACCTATTAGGCTGCGAATTGAACAGCAAACTAGATAGAAGTGCTTAATGGAATAACGTTATTAATGCAGCTATAGTTTCTAGCTTCATATGGAAACAGTAACTGTATAGCACTTAATGCTCAGAACAGGCGACACAGGAAAGTTACGGTTGGAAGTTTTGTAAGACAGACCTTTGTTTGGATTCATATTGTCATTTTTTACCTGTTACAATTTTCATTGGCAAGTGAAGGAGAACTGGCGAGTGTAACAAATGCCCTGCTTTTCATCCTAAGGTGGGGTGAAGTAGTGACCCCCACGCGTAGTTTACTTGTTTGCAAGCTAGTGATTTCCTTGGCACACTGCAAAAAGTTGCAAATCATGGTAACTTGCTTCCATTCCTGAAATGTTAAAAACATACTCAAGAGAGTTCCTATTTCATTTTGTAATTTACTGTTTTGTTTTGTTTTTTAAAGAGCAAAAAAACACTGTTGGTTCCAACTCCACGGCTGAGAACAGGGTTATTTAATAGGATCACACCACCCCCTGGGGCAACTAAAGACATCCTGCGGAAATGCGCCACCTCTCAGGTAAGGGCGAGAAGCACTCACTCACCAAGGAGAGAACCTTCTCAGCTGCAACTTCCGGTGCATTGGAATAGCATAAAATACACCACAAAGTTTGAAATTTATTTTTAACAAAGTCAAGTGAACAGAGATGTTAAAGTGTTCAGCAATCCTGTCATTAAGGGAGCCAAGGAGAGAAACTATGAATACATGGATTCTGTTTTTGTAACTTGGTTTCTATTTTGCACCAAGCTGGCAAATTATAAATTCTGTTTAAGAGGAAAAGGGAAAACAAATTAGCCAGCACTCCGGCGCCCTCTAGTGTCAGTCTGTGACAGGTTCAGTGCTCCGCGGCATTGCATCACAGCCTCCAGAGCAACCGGAGCACCAGGTAGAATTTCCAAAATGCGTTCAATAGGAAATTGCCTTACAGTTCCAAATTAATGAGAGAGAGAAAGAGAGTGTGCGTGTGTGTAATTAATATAGATAGGTATAAATATATATCTTGTATGTATATAAGATTTTCCTGAGCGTCTCACAATGTAGTAAAACCAAAGTGTGTCTAAGTATTACATTAGGGTGCATTACAGTGGAATCCGTCCTGTACTTTACAGATAAAGAAATAGAATTTGGTGGCATTTCAGAGTCCTAGAGTACACTCAAGTCATTTGATTTCTTAATTTACTGGAATTAAAAATAGAGCATCAAGATACTCCTTTTATAAGGGATTTTCTACTTAAGTCTAATGTAAAAAACTAAATGCTTTATTGTTATTTATTGATAACCTGTTTTATTCCAGAAATAGAATTCGATGTGGCTTTAATAATATTTATAAAATAAAATAATAAAATATGTGTGGGAGAAGAAGTGAAAGGAAAAATAAGGGTAGAAGAATAAAAGACAGAAATGGTTCTGGTCGCTGCTCAGAAATGCAAACCTTTTGATTGACTGCACTTGGGAATAGGGGCCACAGATTTGAGCCTGTGTGTCTTGGAGCTCACAGGGAATGTGATCAGTGTAGGTCCCAGGTTCATGACCGGTCAGCAGTCTTTTCTTGGAACTCAGGTCCAGGTCAGAGCACCCATGACAGCGTACCTTTCCTCTCTGGAAGGTGGCCACCACTCTGCTCACTGCCAGGAGGTCCCCATGAAGTGCTGGCCCCGACTGGTCCCACGCATGTTCTCCTGAAAGTGGAGCCGGGCCCAGGGGAGCCGGGCCAGTTCTCATGACAGGACTTTATAAGGGTTGAACGGCAGAGCTCGGGCTTTTTGATAACGTGAGATACTACACTGAAATCAGAGATCCAGAGCCATGAACCCCAAAAGATTTTCACGTACTTCACAGCGTAGGGGAAATGGTAAAGTGGAGAGAGACCCCGGCAGCCACCTCTGTGTGCACATGCACATTTTGGTGCGGTCATTATTCTGCTTACCAAGCAGGGGTGGAAATGCTGCCACGGGGCATGTCCACCCGGGACACTTGATAGTGCCTTATTTCTTGGCAGGTACATCTCTGAGTTTGTCCCTCACCGCCTCAGCCCCCTGTGTCTGTCACCATTGTCTTTGTATTTACTGTGACAAAGGAGTGTTCTGGTGACCACCCCTGCGGGCAGACTGAAAAGTGTGTTAATCACGTGATGAGTCTTTCTGCGCATCATGTATTCTTTTTGTTGATTTGCACACGACCTTAGAGAACCTGGAGACCCCTGGTCGGGCATGCTCTGTCTGGCTAGATTTACCAAGCGAGGCTGACCGCATGAGGTAAGAGGAAATGTGACAGCCAGTTCTTCAACAGAAACCCCCAGACAGCTGTCTGCTCACAGGGCTGCCAGACAGCCCTTTAACATGGAGCTGGGGAAAGGGCCTGGGACAAGAGCTCCCTGCCTCTGTGGCCCCTGTGAGAGCAAGAAAAGACAGGCTTCCCCATGGTGGGAGTGGTGTGTGCCATTGACTGGTCTGACTGTCGGGAGTCCCCCGAACTCACCACATGCACTCCTCCTGGGAGTGGCTGGCCATGTACTGCAGAGGGGCCAGTATCAAGCCCAGAGACTCGCTTCTGCCAGGTACTACTCCATATACCGCCCCATTCCGATTTCCCGAATTCACCTGCAGCCTTGTTATCAGCATCCTGACCATAGCGGCTTCCCTGTTGGTTGAGTACAGGCCTCCACGAGTTAATGCACATGGGCGTGCTTTTGGTGCATTTTGGTCGAATGAGTAATATTTCAGAAATGAGTATACTGTGCATGACCTCCAGCGTTTCATACTGAGTTACTGCGGCACCCACGTTTACTGGCCTTGTCTCACGTGCCAGATTTTACCTCTGTGACATCCCATCATTCCAACATCAGTTCATTAAGCCCTGTGGTAGTGTCCCTGTCTTAAAGGTGGAGGCGCTGGAGCTCAGAGCGCTTCCTCCTGCTGAGGTCACGGGGCAGAGGCATCTGGACCCATCAGTATGACTGCTGAGCTTGTGTTCTAGCTACTGTGCTTTTTTTTGTCATGGAGAGAAATGATTTGCTGAATATTATGAGATGAATATCCTGTCCATTTGTGCTGCCAGTTCCTCCTGGCATCTTCCCTGGGGGAAGGGGGAGGAATGTAGGAAACTGTCCCACAGTGGGTTTCCCGAAATGCCATTTCTGCGGGGCCGCGTGTTTGCCGTAGGGCTGTGCGAGTGTTTGTTTCTTCCAAAGGGTCGATTTGGACCCTGATGGCTCCTTGCCTGCGAGTTAGGAGGTGGGGCAGCCACTCCCGGCTGCGGAGGCTTTCAGGTCCCTGTCTCTGTCCGCAGGGCGTGAGGAACTACAGCGTACCCGTGGGCTTGGACTCCCGGGTCCGTGTGGACTTAGTCGTGGTGGGGTCTGTCGCCGTTTCTGAAAAAGGTAAGATTAAAAATAGAAACTCAGGACACGACCCCTTCCCCTGCAGCTGGCTGTTCCACCAGCTCTCTGTTCGCCTCGTAGACACTGATGGAAAGTAATCTCAGTTTTCTGGACGCGCGCCTGGCTCCCAAACCAGGTGCATCTCCCGTTCATTTGGAGGAGTGAACTCCGTCCCTCCCCCTCCTGGCTCCACTCAACACCTTTGCAGTATTTCCACTCTTCTCAACAGGAAAAATAAAGTGAGATAATCTCTCTTCAGGTGGTGAGAGGTTTCCCTCTGTTCTTCAGTTAACTGAGACTGGCGCTGAATTTATTTGCAGTGTGTCAGTAAATAGTTGGTTTTGGAGAGCCTCCAGGAAATGGAAAAACATTAAGTACTAAACCTTGTTTTTGTTATGAAGCAGCAGCCTCCTGGACCAGACAAGGTGCCTCGCGCCTGCCCATGAGGCCTGGGGCTTGGCCACGCAGGCGCGTGAGCAGCTTGGGGCCTGCACTCTGCCAAGCCACCCTTGGGACTTCGGCCCCTGTGGTTCCTGGGGCACCTCTTCCCCTCCACCCTGCTCTGCCCCATGCCCAGCTTGGTGCTCTTTGAAAGCAGTCTGCTTATTCTTTGGTGGGATCAGCCCACCTCAAACCTGCGTTTATACAGTGCGATTTGGGGTTCCCACTAGGAAAGTGTTCTCTCTCATCCTTCTAAGAGATAAAAAGAGATACTGTGCTAAGACACTCATCCTCAAAGCTCTCTATCTGAAAATTAATCAGCCAAAATCAAGTTCATTCTTCAGGAGAGGTTCCCAGTAAATAGTTGGTGAGAGATGCTCTGAGTCAGTCTTGAGCTTGCTGTTTTTACATGCTGGCCTTTAAAATCTTCATTTAAATTTACTGGTTGTTTTTTTTTCCCAGCTGTTTGAGCTAATATGTGAGGTATTGTAGTTCTTTATCTTCGTTTTTTCTGTGCGCAGTTACAGCTACTGTGTCTGTGTCATCAGGGATGGGTATGCACTCGGGCCTACCACAGGTCAGGAGGCAGGCCAGCAGCCCACAGTGGTCGGGAGGAGTGGACACTTGCAGAACTGCCGCATGTTGTGCTCGGTGTCAGAAGAGCAAGTTAGGATGGGCGTCAGTGGGGTCAGAGGAGCGACCCATCATCTCAGGTGGCACCAGGGCAAGCTCTGCAAGCCCATTGTTTTCGAGGCAGGTGGAAGAGGAGAGGGAGGGGCCTGTTACCTAGCAGAACCCTTTGCTGATGGGGGCAGCTTTCCCAGAGCCTTGAGGCCATGGAACAGGATGTTCTGGCAATGGGAAATTAGCAAAGATGTCTTCTTTCAAAAGATCATCAGGAGTTTTCCTTTTTAGCTCGGGGTGGGTGAAGAAGAAACAATGTTTTGTAAATGTCATCATCCTGATAACCACCAATTAAGACAACAAAACCGCCGTGACCACGCTTGTGACACTTGAGTGGCATGGAAAGCAGTGCCTCCGCAATTCCCTTCCTCCTGCTCCCCGGTCCCTGTGGCTGGCAGTTCCTTGCGTCAAAGTACATGACACCTTCACCGTGGGAGGCACTGCAGGTGTTGTACACACTCTGTGTGGGCCGTGTGTTCGTCCCATGCCTGTTTTCACAGGAGGGACAGCCACGGCACGTGGGGCCATGCCCAGATGCTCTCCAGAGTCTTCTCCGCAGGCCTCCTTCCGAGGGAGAGCCCTGGCCGAGGGACATTCAGTCACCTCCAGAGTTGGGTTTTTTTTTTCCCCCTTTCAGATAGTGTCAGGGTGAGGTATTGTCTGGTCATATGCCCAGTGGGTGGGCCTTCAGAGACTCTTCTGGGGGAGGAACTGCCAAACCAAAGGGTGGATTTTAAATCTGTTGGCTGTTGTCAGGAAGGTTCCCTGCCTCACATGCCCAGCCCAGTGCGCCTCGCCTCTCTCCCCATTCCCTTGTCAATAACTGGAATCACCCAACCTCAGTTTTTACCCATCTCATGGTGAACACTGGTATTTCATTTGTCTTTCATTTGCATTTAGTTTAGTTACTAATGAAGTTGGACATTCTCATGTGTGCTGTTCATCTGTTTGTTTCTTTCTGTGGACTAGTCATATCTTCTGCTATTTTTCTGTCGAATTGTCTTTCTCTTATTTCTTTGCATGCTCAGTTGAAGGCTTTTAATTGTAAAAAGTAGCATGATTAGATCTGAGTCTTAGAATGGCGCATGAGCAACGAGGCTTGAACTCTCGGTGGTGATGCTACTGCTGCTGTTATGTAGAAGTCAGAATTTCCGCGCTGTCCTGGGCTTCCTACCAAGAGGAATGAATGTGGAGGCTCATTTCGGGAGCCAGAGCCATTTTAATGTTTACCGTCTTGCTGCATTCTCTCCTCCTGCTTAGCTCCAGATAATAATCTCTTCGATGGGCCAGCTATTTACACATTTGTACAAACAGTGCTCGTACTGCTGAAACCATCCTCCTTCAAGAACTGTAGGGTCGAATTGGGTAGCTGTTAGTGCTTTTTACAAGGTAAGGCTCTGCCATCCTAAATCACGTATCTCTAATTTTAGAGTTTTTATTTTTCCTTCAAGGGAAAGAGATGAAAAAGATTATTGTTGACACTACTGCAGGTGTCCTCCCAGCCCCACCCCCATTCCCTCTGGCTGACACGACACTGTTTTCCGTGTCCGTGGGTCACGCATGTATGTTCTTTGGCTAATCCCTTCACCTCCTTTCATCTAGTCCCCCCCGTCCCCTCTTCTGACAGCTGTCAGTCTGTTCCATGTATCCATCCCTCTGTTTCTATTTTGTTCATCAGTTAAAAACTATTCTTTCTTTACTTTTAAGTAGTCCTGCTAACACAAAGCTCACATAAATGTGAGCACTGTTTCCTTTTGCAGCGTGTTGGAGAGGTCTGCAGTTCACACACTGTGCTATAGCCACTGTGTGCTCAGCCTTGTTACTCCTCTGAGTCCTGTAAGTCCATTTTCAGTGGGCTGCCTACAGGGTTCTGTGGAAGCTTCTGTGGGAGGGCCAGGGATACTGGACCCAGGTCTTTCCCTTCACTGCGATGTAATGGAAAGTTTGCTCCCGACTGTCTCCCCGGACCCTGCGGAGAGACTGACACCCTGCGTTGTCTCTTAGGCTGGAGGATTGGCAAGGGAGAAGGCTATGCTGATCTTGAATATGCCCTGATGGCATCGATGGGAGCAGTCAGCTCGGGAACGCCAGTGGTCACGATCGTCCACGACTGCCAGGTGCTTCCTGTGGCCAAGCAGAGCCTCTGCCATGCTCCCCTGAGGGGGGGGGGAGGCAGGGAGAGGAGGGCGGGGAGCGGCAGGCTGGCCCGCCTTCAGTCCGTGCTGTCTGTGCGTGGTGCTGGGCTGCTGGGGCCGGGCTTGCTCAGACGCAGCAGCCAGGCCTCCTCCTCCCAGGGGGTCTGGGGCGGCATCGTGCCCCTGCTGAGCAGTGCGGCGAACACGACGGGGGCCCTGTTCCCCATCAGCTCCTTTATCCCCCTCTGTCCGACCAGATCGTCGACATACCCGAAGTGCTCCTCGAGGGTCACGACCTCACAGTGGACTATATCCTCACTCCAACAAGAGTCATCACCACAGGGTGCGCGCGCCCCAGACCAGCAGGAGTCCTGTGGTCCAAGGTGGGTCACTGTGTGCCGTCGAGGGCAGCTGCAGCGTCCCGCAGCCAGCTCTGGGCCATCGCTTAGAGGCGTCTCCTCTCTTACTGTGTTCTCCACCTGGCGTGGCAGTTGTCCCCAGGCCTGGGGCGGCCGTAGTTAGAGTCACTGTGAGCTTTTGAATAATTTGGCTTCTTACTCAATCCAGGCAAGGGCCTAAGGCTCTACTTTGCAAACCTGTGGGATTCTGAGCAAACCCGTGGGATCCTGATAAGCAACCAGGTTCAAGGTCTCCTTGCACAAGACATCTAGCCATAGATGGCAGAAATGACCAGATCTACTAGGAGGGCTAATGACCTGAATTTATTTGCGCACTACTTAAGAGATACTATCATTGGAAAGCTGGTGGCCCCTTCATAGCATGAATGACATCTGTGGGAGACAACACGTTTTCTGGCTTCATATTCTTCTGAGTGTGCTCACACCAGAATCTTTCCACTTTGGGCATTTGGAGGGACCTCAAAGCATTTTCATCAACAGCTAAACTTTAGTCTCGTGTAAGAGAACTAATCATTTTGGAGAGTTGTATTTCATATTAGAAATTTTGGAGAGTTGTATTTCATACTTCCAGTATTTCTGTTTATCTTTGCCTACAGCTGCTCAAACATGCCCTAGAGTTTTAGAATGACAGGGATTTTAAAGATCACCCATCCCAGTCTCCTCCTCTCTAGTCAAGTAAAGTAAGAGCCAGAAAGAATGCAACACATCCAAAATCATAAAACACGTGTGTGGCTGAGGTTAGCTTAGAACCCAGGTCTCTTCTTTTGGGTTGGAAGCAGATGCCGTGAGAGTCAGATTTCTGGCTTATGTTGTGCGTGACAGTATTCGTAGGGGACAAGTCCGTTAATGTAATCATTAAAGGGAATAGATATTTATAAGTGACTGATACCTGTGTGCTTCAGTGAAGTGTGATTGTAGCGCATAAAAGAAAATCAAGTTTGCTTTATACCATTTTTTTAATTACAGAAGGACAGGAATGTTTTTTGTGTTTGATTAACAGGCAAAATCTTTCATTTTACGTGGCAAGTTGAGTTCCTAACTGCCGGCCAGGAGAACAGTGCCACTGTGTGGACCCGTCCCGAGTGTAGTGTCCGGCCGGTGCGGTGGCTGGCAGGGCCTGTCTGTCAGCTGTGAGGCGTCAGTCAGCCTAAGCCACTCTGCAGAGAAATGGCAAGCAGCTCGCAAAGGCCAGGAGCCGGAGAGTCGTCCGTTCAGAACTTGAAAGCCTTGTGGGCGGGAGGTTTTTCCCTTTAGAACTTGTGGGGGGAGTGTGGGCGGGGCAAGGAGGAAGAGCACCCGGAGGGACGCTGGCTTGTCATTCCTCTGAACCAAGGAACGTACTGCTCTGGAAACAAACAGCTTTGCAGGAAAGCCACGCGTTCGTGCTTTGCAGCTCCTGGAGATCCCTTCGCGTGCGCCAGTGCGGCCACACTGTAGACTTTCAGTGAACTCGTGCCTTGTGGTTAGAACATTTTCATTATTCTTCAGCGGCTTATAAGTGGTGCATGTTCTAGCTCTGTAATGTGTGCAGAAGGACATATTTTTGCTTCACGTGACATGTTTTAGAATGAAATTTTTCCCTGACTGGTGTGGCTTAGTGGGTTGGTCATTGTCCTGCAAAGTGAAAGGTCACAAGTTCAATTCCTGGTCAGGGCACATGCCTAGGTTGTAGATTTGGTCCCTGGTTGGGGTTCATGGAAGAGGCAGCCTATAGATGTTGCTCTTGACCTTGATGTTTCTCTCTCTTTCTCCCTCCCTTTCCCTCTCCCTAAAAAAATAAAAATACTTAAAAAAGAAATAAAACAATAAAATGAATTTCTGCTGCCCGAGTGCAGAGCCTCGCCCCGTGGGCCAGGTGTCCTGCGTACTTCCTTCTGCTTGCGGGGGCTTTGTGGTTCCAGTGGGCAGAAACGCGCGGGGGAGCCCCCGGCCGGAGCGGGCCCTGGTGGGAGCGCCGTGTTCACCCACTGCCGCCGCCGCTGGGACTGGGGTAACATTTGGTTCTTCCCTGTGCATGGGGTCACATTTTTTCTCTGATTGGAATTGCAGGTTTAACTCAGTCATCCTTTTTAAGTACTAGATCCAGTAATTTAGAAATCGAAGTGTGACCGATTTAAGTCATTTTTAAATATTCTGAGAGAACACAAGGATCTGAACTTTTTAAGAAGGTGGAGCGGGACACAGGGAAGAGTTGGGTTGGCTGCACTCAGGTCATCGTTTGGGGTTCTGGAACCCGGAACCTCTAGGGTTCCGGTCTGTGCATTTCATCACCTTTGATGAGGCAGTTTGAAAGAAGGGCTGAGGGACAGATGGTGGACAAAAAAATTCCTTTTGATCTGAAAAGAGTAGTCACGTCTTGTGGATATCCATGGCATAGAGATGATTTTTGCATGTGTGTCTGAAAAATGGACAGCATCAGAGGAGCCAGTCCTTCTGTGCACAACATTCCCCTGGCAGCTGAGAGTCGGTGTGCCGTTCTGAAGACCAGAGAGGACAGGTACTCCCCGCAGGGGCCTCGGCCACGGCCATGCCAGGGGGCAAGGGCGGCGTCTGCTCGGTGAGGGCTCTGACCCACAGAATAGGCTTCACTGAGGTGGAGAGTGTTGTGTGCTGAGCACTGGGAGAGAGAACCAGGTACTCGATTCAGTTTGCAAGAAGTCCCTTGACTATTCTTAGGTGTTTGTGTTTCTTTAAATCTTACTCTAATTATTTGACTTTTAACCTGGGGACTGTGCACTTGTGGTTTGGAAGTCCTTGAACAGACATTGGGAAATTGTATACAGAATGGTGGGGGAGTTCTGGGGAGAGAACCGCAGTGCCTTCAAAGGTCCCTGACACCCTGCCAAAAATAAGAACCGTTGCTCTAAGTTACATAGGCTTCTGAATATAATGAGAACACTGATGCTAGTCAGACTGTTTATTTTTGTAGAAAAATTGCACCTGTCTCCGCGTGTGCTGATCTGCACTCCAGGGTGCACATGTCGGGGGAGCCTGGGTCTGGGCCGCTGCTCGCCTCTTTGCAACTGAATGTTTGCCGGCTTCGTGCCCACAGTAAAGACAGAAGGTATCATTAAAGATGAGGATCGTCAAAAGGGACAGAAGAGTGCTTTTCTGTTCCTTTTCTGCCTCCTGATTCCTCTGATAATACTAGACTGATCCTGCCTGGGCTTAGTCATCTGGGCTCAGCCTAACCCAACAGGCAGACGTTCGCAGCGTCTCCGCCCCCCAGGGCGGAGCCCAGCAGAGGTACTTCCAGCCTGTTCAGGCGCCTCCATGGTTGAGCCCCATTTACTGGTATCTTCGTTGCAGGTTTCAGGAAATCTTTGTTAATTCATTAGGCTAAAAAGCCAAAGATGTCCTTTGTATAGAAGCCCTATTCATTGAGACTTAACATTTTGTGTAGAGTATATTATTTTAGACTCATTGCTAGAACTGTTTGGGAAGGTAGTGTTCTATTTCAGACTTGCCTTGATCCCATGTTTTCAATGACACATTGCTCTGAGAAATGCTCCTTCAGTGGCAGAGGGAGAGGAGGAGGAGATTCCTGTGGCTGGTTAAAGACCTCATCCTGCCTGATGGCAGAGATCAGGGGGAGGGGATAGGTACGGAGGCAAAAATACTAAAAAAATTTAAAAACACCATTGTCCTGGGGAGCTGCCAGGGGAGCCACCCTCTGCGGCCCTGCGAGCCTCATAGCAGTGAGCTCCGCTGCTTCCCCTGTGGGCAGGAGGCCTTCAGTTCTCTGTTTTCTGGGCCTGGAGGAGACAAGAAAGCTGCTCGTTCTTGCCAGCTGCCATGGCATATCTTAAGCTAGGGCAGGGGCAGGGTTCAAAGCTACCGATGCAGTGGGGGACCCACATCACAGAGGCCAGGTGGGACCGTTCGCACCTAGTCCGTTGGCGCATGTGACCTTGCATGCACAGATAGAGACTGCCGCCGAGAGCACGCGTGGCCGAGGTCCCCGTGGGATTTCCACTTCTCCTCCCTCAGGACCAAGTGGTGGTCCCTTTCAGACCACCTGAGAATAGCTGGAACTGCTTTTCTTTTTCAGATCAGCTGTGAGATGATGGGGAAAATTCCCATACTCAGAAGCCTCCGCTCCCGAGAGAAGCAGGCTGGGAAAGACGTCACCCTTCAGGATGAGCACCAGCATGCGCTAGAAACCCGCAGCCCACACACAGCTCCCCCAAGCGCTGTCAGAAGACCCTGCAACCCACCGCAGCTGGAGGTGGGGGAGGACGTGCCTTCCAACTCTGTTTACGTTGGGAACCTCCCCGGGGACGCCCGAGCGAGTGAGCTGAAGAGAGCCCTCCGGGAGCGCGACGCGGCCCCACCGCGCCTCACCTGGCAGGGGCCACAGCGCAGGGCCTTCCTCCACTACCGGGACCCAGCTGAGGCCCAGAGGGCTGTCTCCTGTCTGCAGGGCTTACACCTGGGTGCCAGCACCTTGAGAGTGGCGCTGGCCAGGCAGCCGAGGACCCGTGACATGACCGGTGGCCGTGCTGGAGAGCCACACCCTGTTTCCCGACCATCTGACCTGTAACACGTGGAACTTCAGAGACCTACATAGTGGGGTGCAGTGGGGCTCTTGGTGCATGCGCTGCATTGACAAAGTTCCGTTCTTTCTGGGAAGTCGTGGCCTTCAGGGCTGAGCTGGTGGTCTCCTGTTGAGAAGGGGAAATGAGCCAGGGGTACGCTTGCTGCATTTAGAAGGCGGAAGACTCAGTGTATTCAGTTCTGGTTTATCGTCCTTTAGCCTAGTCAACGTTCCAGCCATGCTGGTTTCTCTGAAGAAGCGACACTTGAGAGTGTTTAGGGGACCAGTTGAGCAATAGACAAGCGTGAGTAAATGGGGACAGTGATTTAAGAGAGTTTGTGTCTGGATTTGGGGGCAGTAGGGGATTAGAAGGGGGTGGACAGGGGGTCCTGCTAGGAGAGGTCCTGGCAGGCACCAGAGGCGGGAGCACAGCGGGGCAAACCGGAAACCGTGCTCGTGCCCCAGGCTCCTTGGCCTGGCGCTACCCAAGGGGACAGCTGTGTTCAGTTGGCAGAAGCCCGGCACGTCAGCCTCCTGGGTACAGACCACCTGTCTCCACCCAGTCCTGGCATCAGGCATGGAGAGCTTATCTGACACGGCCCCTTGGTTGGGTGGTCGCACCCCGGCCCCTCCTCACCTGTCGAGCCTTTCTCCTCCCTCCAGGCCTCGCCGTGCACTCTGGGCCAGCTGCCCGGGCACACGGGGGCCTTGGGAGGGAGTCCTGCCAGCCTACACCACAGACAAAGTCCCGCTAGTGCCCCCACACTTCCATTCGCCCGGTGCCTTACGTCTTCTCCTCCAGTTTCTTGTCCCTGAAAAACAAGCTGGATTTTGGCTGAACTGTGCTTTCTAAACAGAAGCACTTTTGCAGTTGATCCTGGGCAGAAAGTCAAAATAAGCATTTAAGTAGATATTTTATTTTTCAAACGTGTATGTATAGGAAGTTTTATTTTTCACCAGAGGGTCTCACGGAGTGTATTTTAAGTATGTTATTAAGCCTCAAGAGTCCAGGCCTTGCACAAACTCTCAGGAAAATCTTCTCAGGGCACTCCATCCCCCTTGGGAAAAGCATTTTCTTCCCGATTGTGCAGTGAAGATACTGTGGAGACTTCAGAAAGAAAGTCTATCCTGTGCACCTTAAACAAATAGATGTCTCTGCACCAAAGGGGGCTTATTCGGGAACAACAAAGAATCACAGTGTGGGGCACATGGTTTGACGAACCGTGTGAAAGTCTCCAAAACAAAGGAGGGAGCTGTTTTTCACGGGTTTCGGAGGGGCGCTGTAAACAAAGCCGATTGGAGGGAACGGGAGTTTGAAAGTGTACCGGCTTTTTTCGTTTCTTCCCTTACCTTTTTTTCCCTCACCAAAGGATATGTTTTTATTGATTTTAGAGAGAAAGCTGGGGAGAGACAGAGAAGCGTAGATTGGATGCCTCCTATACGTGCCCCAACTGGGGACCGAATCCGCAACCTGGGTGTGTGTCCTGACTGGACCGGGAGGATGCTCCAACCCGCTGAGCAGCTGGGCCACGGGGTCCCACCGGGGCTGGAGTGACTTTTCATTGGCTGGGTTATGTCGGCCTGCCACTGGCTGAGCTGTTACTCTTTTCTTCCTCCTCCTGAGGCAGTAAAGCAGAATCAAGGCCTGTCAGAGATGCAGACCATCTTCCTGTTGGGGTGATGCCTCGAGGGACCCATGTCTGAGAGCTCTCCCTTCTAGCCTCTGGACCCCACTTCCAAAGAGGTTCCTGTTCAGCGATTGTCACTGTCCTTAGGTTTGCTCAGTAAATGCAGGCCCCGCCCTCTGCCAGCCAGTTTCTGACCACCCATCCCAGAGCAGCAACCCAATCATCTCTCCCCCTCAGTCTGTTTTCCTTTGCTTTAGTTTTTTTTTTCCATCCAGAATACACCCTGGGTTTGGCATGTTCTTGTTTAGTTTTTGTTGCAGTTTTTATCGTTGACTTGCCACCATTAGAATGGCATTCCAGGAGAACAGGAAATATTTCTCTGCCTAGGCTTTTCAGTCCCGCTACACTCCAGCTGCAAGAACAACTCCCAGCAAATACATGGCAACTCAGGGAAAACGCAATACGTGAACAGATCCACCCACCCCGAGAGGGAGAAGCCGGGTCCAGTGGTGCTTGACGCCATCCCGCTCAGGCCGCCGAGCTACACGCATCGGGTGTGCTCCCTCTGGGCCAAGCTGGGTTGCTTGGGTTTTTCTGTCACTTGCAGACAGAATAATCTAGATTTATTGGTATTTTGACTTTATCATTTTCATATTTGCGGGAAATGAGAATAAGGAAAACTGAAGATCACATGCCTGAAATACAAGCACCCCAAAGGCAATGGCCTGTGCCCACCGAGGGTTCCTCTGTCCCACCTCAGGCAGGTCTCGGATGGCGCTTCCCAGAGCTGCCAGGAGAGCACTCACATTAGTTCCCAAGACTCTTGAGTGCTTGTCAGGACCGTAACTGTATCACATAATGATATGGTGAGATAGTGGAACATGACCCCTTGACAAGGTGCTGAGAGACAGACATCTTTTAAGTGGCGCTATCCCGATTTCTGGGTCTGCCTTGTGTTCTGAACGGTGCTGAACTTTGCCAGTAGATCCGACTCGCGCCAAAGCTGCAGCCGCACAGCTTCCAAAAACTCCCAATGGACGCTGGCCCCGGAGCGCTGCAGCAAAGGTTCCACTGACGTCCTCGCTCACGTGCCCTGGGCAGGCCCTGTGGTGGGTCCAGGTTTTAGCTTCCTCATCTCTGGAATGAAAGGGTCAAACACGCTGGTTTCTAAGGCCTGGCTGGTGCTGACTTCAGTGTTTGTTTGGAGCTTCGCCAGTCACCATCACTTAGATTTTTTTCTTGTCTATAAAAGTAGACATAGCCATTGTGAATTTTGGAATATCAGAGGTATAAAAGGGTGCCACCCCTCACCCCATCATTTAAGCAGCCTTGATTGACATTGCCCTTTATTTTGTCTTTCTTCTGTGTAACTTTAAAACAGCATTAGCAACATAAGCTTTAGAAACAAACACATTTGGTGGGAACATTAGTTCTGCCAGTGTTTGGTACAGTGCGCCATGGCGATTGCTTATCTCCAAATGCAAACAGTCGTAGTAACAGTGAACCCTAGACTTGTGAAGGTCATAAAATAATGCATCAAAAATGTGTGGTCTGCCTGTATCACGTGCTCGAGACCATGCTCTCTGTGGAGGGCCTGCTGGTCCGGTCTAACACCCTTGCATCAACAGCAAGAGTCTGAGGTGGCATCAGCAGCCAGTTCCTGGGGCTTCGGGCTTCAGACGTGGTGGAACCACAGCACCGAGCCTGATGGGGAGCGAGCGTGTTTATGTAGGTACAAGGCAGCCATTTCTGCTCCAGAGGGGCCCCTGGCTGTGGAGGTCACCAAAGGCGGCAGAAGGCACGTGTCACCCACGTTCCCCTGCCTGATAAACCAGGCCGGGCTTCTTCCAGCCCTCAAGCGACTGGACCATTGACCTGGAAACAGTCTCATCTGGGGAGATCTGAGAGGAGCCTGGAACAGCCTGCAAGTGAAAGCACTGCCCTCCAGGAGGGCCCAGTTTCTGGGTGTGCACAATCCGGACACAGTTGCATAAAGAGGAAGCAGGCCAGCGTGGGGCCTGCCAAAAACTCTCAGAGTAAAAGGGTCTGACCCTGGAGGTGAGAAGAAAGAGCGTTTAAGAAAAAGATTTACCCCAGGAAACAGGTAAATTTCAGGCAACATCTGAATAATTTCAGAGAACAGTTTGCATTTTTCTATGAAAAATTTATGCCAGTGTTTTTACCTTTTCTGCTCTGATCTCAAAGTACACAGGAAACCCTGGGCTCTAAAATTAAAAGCCCTGTGAGGCAGATTACTATTCTCAAAAGACAGCTTGCTAAAAGTAGGCAGAAAGGAAAAGAAATGAGCAGGATAGGCAGAGTTATTTTTAAAAAATAAAAATGTGTGATTTTAACATTGAAATTAATATTAGAAGACGTGGTGTGAAGGAGAGAAGAAAGCAAGGAGGGAAGAGACCTGGAGAAGAGACAGCAAGCTGTAGCCGACGCGGGGAAGGCAGGGCCACGCCGAGCTCCAAAGGTGGAGCGATCGCCCGGCTGCCGCGGGCAGTGCGGGAGCACAGGCTGCTAGTCTGAGGGATGTACGCGTGACAACCCCACAACAGGTCTCTGCCCACGAAGGAGCCACGCGGCACCGCACCCTGGGCCTCCATCTACGGAAATTGGGGCAGACAGTATGGAACCTCCAGTCACTGAGGAAACCGGCATCTTGAAACAGCAACTAAATCCTTGTGGAAATGTCAGTACAGGAGTTTAGGAGGTGATTAGAAGGCCATGATATCCATTAAGAAGAGAATAAATTGGTAAGGAGAAAAGCGGTTTTTAGAAATTTAATACACCACAAGATAAACTTGTAGTGTCACACCGAAGGCAGAATAGATACAGGTACAATTGGAAGATTAAGTCACATGAGAGGGAGATGAGAAGCGTGATATTCTGGGGAGAGTGAACAAAGCTTGATTCAGCAAAAGAAGATTTGGCTTCATCTTGAAAAGTCCTGCAAATCCAGGGCAAGGGGAACAAACATTCAGACCAGTCACTTTCCCGTATAGTTCCAGTAACTCATTGAAAACTTTGTTTTCAATGCAATAGCAACAAAAACTACTAATAACTACGAATACACCTAATGAACAGCCCAGGGCTCCTATGGCTAAAAGTATAAAGTTTTGCGGAAAAAGATGAGCAAACTGCGTGAAGAGGCACACTGTGTTCTAGATGAAAAGGTTCAATATGACATTTCTCCCTGTGTTGACGTTCTGTACGTGACAGTCAAATCCCAAAGGATGTTTTCATGGAACTTGACCGGGTGGACAGTAAACACTCAAGAGGAGCGAGAGCGTGGGGAAGGGGTTTGCCTTCTGGAATCCAAGCCCACGCCAAAGCACCCGCCCTCAAAGCATTATGGTGCTGGTGAACCAGCACATCGAGGGGACATAATAGAAAGTTTGCAGCAGGTAGATTCCAGAGTTTAAGAGTAATTTCAAAGGCATGGGGAGGATTTTCTTCTTAAGAAATGGAATGAGAGCTAGTGGCTATGTTTTTGAAAGATGATTAGAGCAATTTGGTTTTGGTATCATAAAAATAAATACCGGGCTAGTTTAATAGACATTAGAAGAATACAAAGGAATTTGCAGTTCATACAAGGGAATGTTTTGTAACATTGAGGTAGGGAAGGGCTGCATAAGCAAGACCCTGAATTTAAGGAGAACGTAATTCTTTGTTTCCCTCAGAATGTCAGATTTTGATGTGTGTAGAATTCAAATGACCTCAAGATGAACCATCTGAAGAATATTCGCCAAGTAGAAAAATTGACCAGTGCATTTCATGCACTGATTTAATACTGTCCTCTTCAGCGCTACCTGAGGCAACAAACCTTAGCTATGTATATAAATATGGCCAGTATATAAATACGGCCAGCAAAGCACACTGCCCCTAACAAGTCGATGAAGCCGTCAGCGCAGAAGACCCCTCGCCTCTCTGTGGGCTTCAGGAGCAGGCACTCAGTTCACGTCATACTTCTGTGAAGGGGAGGGAAGTTGATAGGACCATTCGTTTTCTTAAAAATATTTTATTTATCTTTAGAGGGTGAAGGAAGGAGAGAGAGAGAAATATCATTGTATGGTTGCCTCTTGTGTGTCCTCAGCTGGGAACTGGCCTGTAACCCAGGCATGTTCCCTGACTGGGAATCAAACCCCGATCCTTTGGTTCGCAGGCCCGTGCTCAATCTATTGAGCTACACCAGCCAGGGCAGGACCATTCACTTTTAACATCTGGAAAAGAATATTCCCCTTTAGGAGGAAATCCAAACTTCTTGGTGTCCAGTCTCTCCCACCTTCCTTCCCTTCCACAGATTCCCCCTAAATTCTATTACACTGCCCGAGAAAGTGGGTGGATGCACAGCCAGCCGGCCAGACACAGGCGTCTTGTTGCCAGTGCCTCGGCACTGCCGGCTGAGCAGCAGGGCCGGGGCGCAGGCATTGCAGTGCCCGGGGTCCACGTTGATGTCCACAAAGAAACTCTTAAAAATAAGCATTATAGCCCTGGCGGGTGTGGCTTAATGGATTGAGTGCTGGCCTGCAAACCAAAGGGTCACTGGTTCTATTCCCAGTCAGGGCACATGCCTGGGTTACAGGTCAGGTCTCCAGCAGGGGGCATTGGAGAGGCAACCACACATTGAAGTTTCTCTTCCTCTCTCCCTTCCTCTTGTTCTAAAAATAAAATCTTTTTTAAAAAAGCATTACAGAACATTTAGAAAACATCAGGAAAGAGAATAAACTCACCACCTTAAAGAAACATTGTGACTTTTGTGTCCTTTTCTAGTGTTTTTACTTCACATTGATGCTTTTATATAGTATTACTGAAATTGTTTTTGGAATGATAGACAGGATAAAATATTCTTTTAAAAATTGTTTTATTTAGTTTTTTTTAGAGAGGGAGAGAAGCATCGATGTGTTGCCTCTCACATGCGCCCCAACCGGAGACCACACCCACAACCCAGACATGTGCCCTGACAGGGAGCTGAGCCAGTGGCCTTGTGCTTCGAGGAACTCGGCCCAGCCCCCTGAGCCGCACCAGCCAGGCTCTCCCACTTCTCACACCTGTCTCTGCCATGCCCAGGGCAGTGCTTGTGGTTGCACTGACAGGCGAGTGTGTCCACCCCGGTTCTGGGGGCCTGGCTCCCAGTGTGGACAAGCACGTGTTTCACATGTGCCCGGTGGGCCAGACCCCAGCACACACTGCCTCAGCCCTGTGAAGTTGGGATACAACGCTGTCCCCACTTTTGCAGGTGAGAAGACCAATTGGGAGGAAGTGATTCCCACCCACCCACCCCACTCCCCCG